TGGGTGGGCACGAACCACGGAAACACTCTTATGATGGTTTGTGTTCTTCAAGTCTGCCTTTGGCTTGAAAGTAGCTGTCTTTGATGCACTTCATTATAGGCTTCTGTTATGAAGCTGGTTTTCTGTAATTGATGGTTCATGACTATATCAACACCAATGATTACTGTGCTTCCTAAAGTTAGCCCTCTGGCCCAACAGGGGAGGCATTTCCACTAATGAGCAAGTCATAAATATTAACCTCTGTCCTATGACCATCTAGCTCTCCACCTCCAGGCACAGCCCATACACTATCTCCTGGATCTTGTACATGTCAGAGAACATAATGATTATATGATGAAGTTCCAGCAGATAACCATGTCAGCTGGAGGAAATAACTGTAGGGCTAGTTTAGCAATGGTGGGTGAACACAGTGAATGCAGCATATGAGGTAAAGAAAAAGAAAAAGCAGAAACTACATCACAGTTCTGACAAACAAATGTTATGGAGTCAGAATGCTCAGTATTTGCCCCATTCACCTGTTCTGACACAGTCTCCTAAGAGCCCTCCAGTCCTCGGAACACACTATGACAAATGCAATGTAACAAACTATAGCAACATTTAGGGAGCCCTTATTGAAACACTATTTTCCAAATGATCAACTCAAGCATAGGCAAGACTCACTTAAAATACAGCACAGATCATTGGACTATATTTTAATATAGACTATGAAAATATTATGTGTTTTCAGATTCCACACTACAATTAATTTGTTAAATTCTTGTGTAATATTAGAATTCCAAATTATCTGTGTTGTGACATGGGAAGTGTATATAAGCACTTTCCACCACTATCTGCTATAGTACAAAGCTACCCCAGAAAAGTGTTTGTGAGCCACTTTCTCAAGGAACACTATTTTTATAAGAACCACTAGCACACAAATTATGTATGCCTAAATAAGAGTGTGTGTGTGTGTGTGTGTGTGTGTGTGTGTGTGTGTGTGTGTGTGTGTGCTCCAGCACCTCAGGCAGTATAGAACTCAGGATCCTCCTACTTCTGCTTAAGCGCTAGAGTTACAAACTACAGTGACTTGAAATAGGGCACATAAGATATATTCTTGATAATGAATAAAGTGAGTCTATCTATCACTTCAAAGAAAAGCAAATATCAGTGTCCACAATGACAAACTCTCAAGTGAAAATTAAAATTTCAGAAAATTTATGCCCATTCCATGAGACATCCAAGAATTTTACTGCTATCACAAAACAGCAGCTTTCAAAACCCTGGTTGTTGCCACGCATGGGAATGCACGCCTTTAATTCCAACATTCTAGAGGCAGCAGCAGGTGGATCTCTGTGGGTTTAGGCCAGCCTAGTCTTCAGTGTGAGTTCCAGGCTAACCAAGACTATATAGCGAGACAAGGTTTCAAGACAAAAACAAAAAGCAAAACCTTTTCAAAAGCAATGTGTCATGTGGAGAGAACCAGCAGGCTCTAGTAACTTCAGGAAGACAGACAGGGCAAAAATAAGCCAGGAAAGGGGATGTAGGAATGCCATGTTAACATATCAAAGAGTAAGAATTTTAAATTCTGACCTAAGATTTGGGACTGTGAATAAAACATGCTTTTTCTATTAAAATAATAATCCTCCAACGCTAGCAGGAACTATATACAAAAGTACCAGCTACCTTGTCTTATAAAGTGTTTGTCTCATTTAACCTTATATCATAGAATACTTTAAAATTCATACTCTAGATTTAATATGCTTTTTTTAAAGCCTTTATCTTTTGAAAGAAATGTCACTATTCATGAGAATGGCAGCAAAGGACACTAATACAAAGGAATACACGAGGAGCTCTAACTACTTCCAATTAAGCATCTCAAAACTTTTGCTTAAATATATGGGTCTTGCAACATGATACCAAGGCACTATTTTAACAAAAGTGACACCTATTACACTGTAATCAACAGAAGGGGAAGGAAGAACATGATGCAGAATCACAGGCCTCACCATGCATCAGATATAGCATTACTTGATATAGCATTGTTGAGCCTGATTCAGGAAAGCCTTTGAAAAGAATTGAAAGCTGGTTAATAGATTCAAAAAGATTGTTAGAAAAAGAACACC